GACTTATCTCAAGTCCATGGGGCCCTCGGACCTACTAGCTTCCCCGACGAGGTTGTCGATTCGCAGCGTGCCTCATGGGGCCTGGTCTGGGACAGCACCCCTGGGGCCACTCCACATCTTTCGGGAAGTATGCACAATCCTGAATGTTTTGACGACGTCGTGGAGGAAATGCGCCACCTGTGTGAGCACGGGCCCCGACTTTCACCCCTTAGGATTGCGCAGATTCGAGAAGCTGCTATGCAGTTTCCGACCCATACCGCTGCGGGTGCTGACCGATTCCGCCCACGACGCTGGGCCTTCCTATCGAACGAAGGCCTCTCCTTCCTTGGGCACTTGCTATACCTATGTGAAGTATTTGGATCTTGGCCCCAACATGCGCGTCACGTTCACATCGTCCTTCTGGCTAAGCCCCTCGGGGGCTACCGCCCCATCGCCCTTCTGCCCTCGGTCTACCGTGCGTGGGCGAAAGCCAGGATGACGTTTGCACGAGAATGGGCCTCTCAGCTATGTCGCCCCCACCTGGCCTTAGGGGTACAGAAGACCATCACAGACGTGGCTGTTCGACTCCTGGTTCACGCTGGGGCTCACACAGGGGACGATTCGACTCAGGCTTCCCTACACGCTGCCGTCGACATTGCCAAGTGTTTCGGCAAGATACCTTGGCGTAAGGTCCTCGCTTCCGCTGGGGGTCCATCAATTTCCAGGTGTGTTAATAACATGGGCTCTCCGTATGTATGGCTCGGCACGGCGTTTGGTATGGGATGGGGCCTACTCTGCGGTTGCTTGGGCGAGTCGTGGGGCCCTGTCTGGGTGTGCTTTGGCTATGTATGCTTTGCAATGCATCACGCTGCAGCCTGTCGATGCCTTGTATAGGCACACGCACACCATCTCTAGGTCCATCGACCTTTACGCCGATGACGTTACGATTTCGACCGCTGGTTCGATCGAGGACCACCTTGAGCAGGGACCCAAAGTGCTGCGTCTACTACATGGAGTGCTGGAACGCCTTGAGCTTCCAGCGGCTACGAATAAGATGAAAATCGCGTGCAGCCATCCCAAAACAGGACGGGCCATCTGTCACATCGTTCGGGCTTTTGGGTTTGTATATCACACTGCCCGGGAGGTTATTGGGATTGATGTGGCTACAGGACGTCCGCTACGGTATCACAAGTTACGATCCCGACTTCGGGCCACAGGTCGGATGGCACCCCGATTTCGTAGCGCATGGAGGGCAGGGCGAGTGGTCAACCGCTTCGTGCGACAGGCGGTCCCCCCAGCCCTCAGTTACGGGGCAGGAGTGCATGACATCCCGCCCCGCTTTGTGCACCGCATACGGCGCCTCTTACGCAGTGCCTGGCATGCGCCAGGAGGCGCCACTTCAGCGCGGCTGAGTGCTACGCTGCAGCCCGACAGTCTGGCCGTCCCCCAGGCGATGGCCTGGTGCGCCCCGATTTATCAGTGGGCACTGTTGCATCGTGACAAGGCTGTGTCGGGGGACGTACTACAGAGGGCTTGGAGTCAGCAAACCCGCATCCTCTACAACCACCCCAAGCCTTGGAATAAAGTCGCAGGCCCTGCTGGGGCCACACTACTGGCCTTTCGAGATCTCGGATAGACCACGGTCTCAGCTCATGTATGTCGTACCGACCTTGGGGACATCTTGGACCTCCGCAGAGATGCCCCTTCGACCTTGCTTGCGCTTGCCAAAGAGTCTGCCGCTCGTCGCTTATGGGCCCTGTGGGCCAGCAGGCCCGAAAGCACATCCCAGGAGATGGTCCCGAAAGAACCCACTGGCTACTGGGTCGAGCCCCTCCTGAAGGCCCTGGGCCGAGTTCGCGTGGAGGAGTCGGATTCAGAGGATGACGCTGAACAGGGTCCCCCCCCCGACCATCACGGCAGCCACTACGAGCAGCGTGCTTCCTCTCGCTGGGAACCAGACCAGCGAGAAGCTGGTATGCTTCAGGCGCTCGTCACAGGTGGCGTTTGGCTACCGCAAAGGCTTGCACAGCTGGGTTACACGGATTGCTCAGAGTGTGCGATGTGCGGTGCCGAGAAATGTGGAGTGCATCATGTGGTTTGGAAATGCCCGTCCGATGTACTATCACAGGAGCGTGAACAGGTGATGTCTCGCTTGGATACTCGTGGTTTTCCACCGTGTGTCGAGGGCTCTTGGTTTTGGGACCGTGGACTTATTGGGCGTTCTTGCTTCCCCGTACTACCACCTCGGGACGACTCGGGGGCCTGGCGCATCCTGCATGGAAACCCATGGGGCGTCTCGGGCAGGGTCTACACGGACGGAGCCTGTCGTCGAATCTGGTACTGGCCCGAGTCGGCCCGAGCAGGGTGGGGCTTCGCCACCTTAATTGATCGCGATCGTGGCGGGGTTCAATGTGTTGTGTACGGAGCTTTGCCAGGTCCTGTGCAGACCTCCTCTCGGGCTGAGATGTTTGCTGCCCTTCAAGTCCTGATGGCCTGCTTGCCGCCTGTCGTTATAGTTACCGACTTTAAAGGTTTGCCCGATGGACTTGACAGGGGTCCAGCTTGGTGTTTGGCTCCTCGGCGAAACAACCTGGACCTCTGGGAGGCCATCTGGGGAAACATTCACGACCTCGGCGGTCTCCAGAGTGGTGTCCCATTTGAGCTTTGTAAAGGGCATCGGCGGGGCGGCAGCGAAGTGGCGCGAGGTAATCGGTGGGCCGACCTGGCTGCCACCAGAGGGCGCGATCTACACCGTGCTTCGCAACAGGCCCGTAAGGCCATGGCTGTCGCCTTCAAGAATTATAATCTGTGTCTCCGATGGATGGTGCGCGCCCTCACCATCTATGGTGGCGCAGGGCGCTGCCCCGCCAAGCCTCGGGTTAAGCGGACCCGCCGCGCTTCTCCCCCTCAAGAGGACACGGGTGACACCCCGTCTCATCTCCGACACGTGTTTGTCAGAGTCCCAGGGAGGAGGATTTTCCGCTGCGGGTACTGCAAGCCCGGCGCTAAGACTGCTGATAGAGCCGGTCGCCTTGAGGTCCTCTCTTGCTCTGCTCGCCTTCGGGCTTCGGCGGCTTCGCTCGGACTCGTGGCATCAGAGCTTCCAGAGGTCCCCAGGCCTGGCCCCCTTGGGCCTGCGTTGGCCGTCGGCTCCTCCATGGGCTCTGACGCGTCCCCTTCAGCCTCGGCGTCTTTCCGAGACACCGAAGTTGGCCGAGACGTGCAGCTGCCCAGTGAAGTGCCCGTGGCTGGCGACGACATCGCCATGGGGACGGAGGCTCCTATTCCTGAGAGGAGCGCTGGTCGCGCCCATGCTGCTGCTTTCCCGCCTCCCCACGTCTTCGTCGACGTTTCGGACCTTCGTCGGTCGTCTTGTCGTCTTCGCTCGTCTAGCTCCGAAGGCGAAGGCAGTCGCAGCGTCAGGCCGAGACTCACTTTTGATCCTATCGTCCTGGCTCGGTCTCCTTGTCAGGAGCAGCAGGATCGAGCCACTGCGGACGTCGATGCCGACCTCCCCCGAGTTAAGCGCAGGCGTCAAGCTCGCAACAATCCCCGCCCGAGGTTGAACGACACCACCGTGCCGATTACCCAGTTGCCAGCTGCTGGCACTGTGCCGCCCGAGGCGGCTAGAGGGCATCGGTGCTGGGTCGCCACAGGGGAGGTCGTTTTGTGTATTCGTTGCGATTTTTACAACACAGGGGTCGCAAGTCACCTCCTTGTGGACTGTCGCCCTCCCGACTTCAACCAGATGTCGGAGAGGGCGACTCGTAATCGCAAGCTGTTCTTGGGGTGTCGGCACCCTGCCGACGAAGGCAGGCCTAACGGCCGCACCCTTCGGACCCCAAGGCCGCTTTTCTGGCCACTGACCCCGAAACGCTTTGGTTGCGCTTGGGCCCTCTGGGGCCTAGCGCTCGTTTTGGGTTTACATATCTTGGCGCTTGCGCCTGGCTCTCATGAGCCGTACGTGCTGGCGGCCCGCCCCATGATCCTCGGTGGGGGCGAGTCGCACCTTGCTAGCACACTGGATGGGCGTTTTGCCTGTCCCCTCTCTCTGTGCACGCTAGGCGCGATCACTGCGCGGCGTCCGCCAGGGCAGTGCGTTATCCTCCTCTCCCCCTCCTCTCCCCCTCCTCTGTCCTCCCCCTCCTCCTCCAGCTCCTCCGAGGGTCGTTTATGTATGAGGGCCTTTTTTTAGCACTCTGGAAGCGCCAGGTGCAGCAAGAGCGTCTGCGCAGAAAACGCCCCGAGAAGGCTCCACGACGGGAAGTGCCACGGGAGCCCCAGCGAGACTCCGGCCCCAGAGGGGGAGCACGAACCAGCATGCCGATTTTTCCGCGCAGCAGGGCCCCCAGGAGTACAGAACCCCAAGAGGCCTCCCAGGAGGCCGCCAGAAGCCTCCAAGAGTCCGCAAGACGCCCCCCAAATCTAGGCCTCTTAGATGGGGTCGGCGTAGATGGGGCCGGACGCGCCGCCTCGCGGATGCATCGGCGATGCATCGGCGATGCGGCTCGATGTGCGGCCCAATGTTCTCCACGCCGATGCATCGCCGATGCATCGCCGATGCATCGCCGATGTCGCCAGCGCATGGCCGATGCATCGCCGATACATCGGCGATGCATCGCCGATGTATCGCCGATGCGGCGAGATCTCCCGAACCCATCTATTCGGTCCCCATCCCAGGCCTTTTACAAAAGGCCCCCAGGAGGCTCCCAAGAGGCCCCCCAACCGCCCCCCACAGTACCCGAGAGACCTTCGAAGAGCTCCCGACAGGCGTCCCAAAGCTCGATGCATCCACCACAACACTGCCACGCGACGAGATGAGCCGAACGGTACTCCTTGCACAAGTCCCTGGGTGCGTTCCCGTTATCCAGAAGCCTGATCAACGCGAGCGCGTCCCAGTCGCCAGCATCCTTCGCCACCGCCTCGCAAGGGGGAGCGGCGCCGGGGAGCTTGCGAGTTTCGGCCACATCGACCTGTTGGGCTGCATGCGTCCAGGGGGGGGCGAGCCGACTGCTGGGCAGGTTGGGTGGATCACGGTGGAGATGCCCGGCGAGGTGCTGCTGGAACCGCGTGATCTGTACAACACCAAGGCTTCCATCTGCCCCCCCCGCGCCCCCACCAATCCTCTACATGCGCGCCGGCGGCGGAAGCTGGCGGACGTCTGCATCTGTTGGGGTCTGTGGCGCGGGAGGCTGCACAGCGAGCCGAAGCGGTCGCGCGCGTCTGGTAATACTTGTGTTCGCTTACGCGTCAGTTTCGTAGCCTGTCTGCCTGTCTTTCTATATGTCTGCCTGTGTGCCTGTCTATCTGTCTGTCTGTCTACCCGCTATATATATATATACATATTGGTGTGTGTGTGTGTTTGGGTCTCTTTCTTTTTGTCTGCCTTTCTGCCAGCCTGTCTGTCTGTATGGCTGTCTGTCTGTCTGTCGGTCTGGTTCCCTCTCTTTCTCCATTTCTCCCCCTCTCTCTCTCTCTTCCTCTTTGCCTCTTTCACTCTATCTCTCTTCCTCCTCCGCTCCGTCCCCCTTCTCTGCCCTCCCACTTCCCTTCCTACATCCACTCCTCTCGCTCCCTCTGGTTCTCTGCACTCCCTAGCATCCCCACACGGTCCTCACGCCCTTCCCTTCCGGCCACCCCTTCATTGCGCCCCGCTTTCTCTCCACTTCCTCCCTCTGCCCTATCCTCTGCCCCTTCCTCCCCGCACGCCTCCCTCTGCCCCCTCCCTCTTTCCGCTCCCTGTGCTCTCCTCCGAGCCATCCCCACCTGGCGCCGCCGGCAGCGCCGCTGCCGTCCCGCAGGCGGTCAGCCGGCTCAGGAAGCACGGCCCGTTTCCGCGCCGGCTGCCGTTCCGCAGGCGGTCAGCCCGCTCAGGAAGCGACGGCGGGCCGGGGAAGGACGAGGCCGGGCCCGCGCTGGAGGAGGGCACGCTGGAGGCTCGCACCCTGGGCGGGGCGCCTGCCACGCACGTCTGCGAGGGGGAGGTGCAGACAGCGTCACCTCAGGAGGTCGTTGGCTTCAGGGATCCTCCCCCCCTATGTTTCTCTGTGGCAGGGAATGTCATCCGCCTTTCTTCCTTCTTCCTCCTCCTCCTCCTCCTCCTCATCCTCCGCCTCCTTCTCCTCCTTCTCCTCCTCCTTCTCCACAATTACTCAATATGAATACTACTCTCCCTCTTCCCCTGATGGCGTCCAGGGAGTAGCAGACCCCCCCCCCGCGTACTGTTTTTTTACACACAGGAGTCCCGGGAGTTGGGTTTTCGCCTGCGTTTTTTTCAAAATGCTGCTCTCGCTGAGGCGCCGGCCTCATTTCTGCTCCCGAATCGTTCCGAATCGTGCTCCCGCTGCAGCGTGGGCCTCATTTTCGGATCGGTGTTTGGCCTCCGTCGTTCAGGATGGCGTTCTCGCCCCAGCGCGGGCCTCTTTCTCGCGCGCCCATCCGCCCGCCACCACCGCGCCGCACCACGCCCCGCCCCGCCGCACACACACACACACACACACCCACCGCCACTTCCACCCACCAACGCACGCACGCACGCACGCGCACCACCATCGCGCACCGCCACCACCACCGCACTACCCCACCCACCACCACCACGCTACACCGCGTCACACCACATTACACGCGCGCACACACAGACACACGCACGCACGCACGCACGCACGCACGCACGCACGCACGCACGCACGCACGCACGCACGCACGCACGCACGCACGCACGCACGCACGCACGCACGCACGCACGCACGCACGCACGCACGCACGCACGCACGCACACGCACACGCACACGCACACGCACACGCACACACACGCACACACGCACACACGCACACACACACACACACACGCACACCACACACACACACACACCACCACCGCACCACCACCACCGCCATCACGCACGTACGCACCTGGCCCACCACCAAACCACCAAGACGCCACACCACGTTACACCACAGCACACTCGCACACACGCACACACACACACACACATAGACACCACCACCACAACAACCACAACCACGCACACACGCACGCACGCACGCGCACCACCACCCACTACGCACACGCGCGCGGAGCCACAGGTCCGCTACGACACGCGTCCGCGGATAGAGAAAATCAGCGCCATGGTAAGGGATGGGAGGGAGGGGTAGGATGTCATATGTAGACGCGAGCGCACCTAACTTGCCCCATCCCCCTCCCCCTCATCCTCCTCCTCCTGATACTCCTCCTCCTCCTCTTCTCGGACGGGGCCAGGGCGTGGATAAATCCGTTCCAGAGGGTTCTGGAGCGCTCTCAAAGCGTCCTGGAACGTTCTGACAAGTCCGCGGTTCTCGAACATCTTCCAGACCCGTCCCATTTCAGATATTCCCGGCTTATCCTCACGTGAATTTGTCTCCGTCATGGCATCGTCTTATCCACTTCCTCTTCATCCCCCTCCTCCCTCTCACAGGCCGATTACCAGCCAGGTAGGGCGTCAAGCTACCAGTTTTGTCTCGAGCTCGGGCTATGCCAATCAGGAAGTGGTCATTGCGGCATTTGGTATGCTGCTCGAGGACCTCGCGCTCGTTGAGGCTCTCGGCGAAGCGTCCAGGCGCGGCGGGCCGCATGAGGAGTCAGACTCGTGCTTACAGGACGACGAGGTTTGTTTGAAGCACTTGACTGGGTTGAGCCCGATCCACAGCAACAGCCCTCCGTGCCGACTTAGAGCCTACAAATCAAATTAGACAGGCGTAGCAGAAACAGAAAGGCAGTGGAGTCATGGGTCACAGAGTATACGCCTTCCAAACCGTAATCAGAGGAGGAGGAGGAGCAGGAGGAGGAGGAGGGCAACAAACATGAATATTGAATATATAATCGTAGCGTACCAAACAGGAGGGAGGAGACACCCGACACATTCGAGGAATCGAAGTACACGTGCTCCCCCCTCCTCCTCCCCCCTGTCCTCTTGCTCGTCCTTCTCCTTCTCCACGGGAGGCGTGGGAGCGCACGGGCGCGATCTTCCGGGCGCTCCGCACGGAGGACTGCTTCGATTGCAAGCCGTCCATGGGCACCGCTCCTAAGTGGAAGGCCGCCCCCCCCCAGGGCCCCCCCTGCTTGTCGGAGGAGGGGAATCGAAGGTGCCCACGCGGCTCCCCTCGCCTCGATGTCGCTTGTTTTGGGCCTCCTTGGAGGCCCTCGTCGCCACCGCTGGAGTTGCATCGAAATCCTGGTCGGAACGCACCCTGGGAGAGGTCCCGGGGAGCAGCGGCATGGGTACCATTGTGGTTTCCCCTGCCGGGAGGCAGGCGCCGAGGAGGGGGTCCTGACGCGTGGGCGAAGCGAGGCGAGCTTGGGCGGGATAGCGAGGGATACGGAGGAGGATGAGGAGCAGGAGGAGGAGGAAGAGGAGGAGGAGGAAGAGGATAGGGGATACCTGGACGAGGATGACGTGAACGCGCTCTCGGCCGCGAAGTGTCTACCAGCACTCTGGCTGGCCCAGCTCGACGCCCGCGGGCCGCGACCCCATCAGCAGCGAATCGCCCCCCCCCCCCCCCCCCCCCCCCTCTGGGCTGGGACACTTCCACCCCCCCAAACGGAGGCTCCCATCGTTGTTCCTCCTCTCAGGAAAAAGAGTGGGAACACACCTTAATTATGTCCTGTGCGACGACGTACTTCAGGCCGTCATGTTGCCCGATCCTGCGTAAACTCGTACTGCTCAGCGTTTTACTGGTCAGCGACGTGCTGCGGCTCAACGGCGTACAGCACCGCAGGGCTCTCAACGCCACCCTGCGCAACAAAGTCATTCTTCCACATGTTCCCACTCGCATGAAGCGGGCCGTCTACCTCGTAAGCGGTCGAATTCCCGCATTTGGTAGCATGATGTGTGTCGTCTACCCAGCCAGCGGCCGAGAGCTTAAACTTGGTGGCTGTATGGGTAGCCTCAACATCTTGCTGCAGGACACGATACGGCATCAGTGCCAGCAGCATGTATCTGTCCACTCCAGCCGTAAATATAGACTCGTACTAACAAACATCCGGAGCACCAGCACAGGCCACCGCCCCGAGAAGAGCGGGATCGGGCCTGCTAGCGTCGAGGAAAGTTGAGGGCCCACGATCGGGCCAGACAGCACGCGCCTACAGTTGCCGTTTCTTTGCCCCCCCCCCCCGCTCTCCCGCGACGCGACGGGCGACCTTTCCCGATTCCTCAGACCAGAGCTTTCTACCAGTGTCGGGTCTGCCGTTTCTCAGAGGCTCCGCCGTTTGCACCGAAAGACAGTTGAGCGTCCGAGCAAACCGGAACATCTCAGCATCCTGGGAAAGGTTATCGTCTCCACTCCGCCTCGATCATACCTCCGCAGCAATCGCGCGGGCCCCTCAAGGGCCTGCACGGAACGAGGACTTCCGTGCGTGCTCCCTTCTGCCCCCGCTGTTGGGCTCGTGTACTGGATGGGTCGCCACGTGGGGTGGTGCGCAAGCAATTGTTGTAGCACTTGCAAGAGGGGCCTGAGAAACGAAGGGACCTCGATCATCCCGAGCGGCACCCGCGGAAGAAGAGGAGGCTCATACTGCAGCTCCTCGAGAAGCTTGGCAGCCTCCCTCTCCAGCTGGCCCCTCGGAGGTGGCCCCACCTTGTCCACTTTTCCTGTCTTGACAATCGCGGGCAAAACAGCTTTCTTCAGGTCGGACCATTCCGTGTTGAAGTAGACCGTGATCGTCGCGAATTTTGTTGAGCCATATTTCTTGTTGGTGGAGCTTCGTCGACAATGGCGAATCTTCTCTGACACTTCCTCGAGAGCACTCTTCATCATAATGTCGCCCCAGAAGCGCCAGATCACGTCGCGGTACAGCTCGCAGAGGCCCGCTACTCCGCATGGGGCCTACACCGTGGTTTCGAACGCGGGTGGAAAGGATGGGCCTAGCAGCACGTCCTGATTGATGCCCTTGGTGGCGTTGACCTGCTTGTGGTGGTCCACGCATGCCGCCGCCAAGGACTTCGCGATGGGAGAGCCACGCGGCACCACGACGGTTTTGCAGACGGCGGCGGCGAGGTCCTGCAGCTCGGCCGCCTGCGTCATTGCCGAGGCCGCCAGCACTGTTATCAGGCGCTCGGGTTGCTGCTGGCGGCCGCCTCCTTGACCGGCAGCGTATTCGATCAACCAGCGGCGGCGCTGACCCTCGCGGCCTCTTTTCCGTGAGACCTCTTGATCGCCCACGCGGGCTCCTCGAGGGCCATGCTGGTGAGGAGGCACGTGTGTGATCAAATGATCCCCGAGAGCCGAGAGGTATTGAGCAACCAAGGGGCACAACGGACCTGTTTAGTGAAGCTGGCTCGACCACTCATCCCAAGAAACGAATGGGACCACATCCCCGAGGGCGAGCCGATCTTGAAATAACGGGCCGGTAAGCCGTACTTCGAGCCCCCCACACCACTTTGCAAAAAGTGCATTGGTTGGTGCTCACAGTTTCCGTGTCAGTTTTCGTGTGAAGATAATTACGTCTACAATGTGTCTGGGTGTGTGTGTGTGTGCACAGTTGTCGATCGATCCAAACAGTGGCAGCACATTCAACCCCATCTCCGTCGTCATGCAGCACTTCCAAGTGAAGTCCGACCGCATGGCAAGAAACCTTATGTGTTTCGCCAGGGTGCCTACGTGTCTTTGGCTTGCGTTCGGCGTGGAAGGTTGCAGCAGTCTCGAATATACTGCAAATGGCAGGGTACCCTGGGTTCGATTGCGTCGGCGCGTTGGGTTTCTCGATGCCACATTCCTTTACCCAGGCGATCAAGAAGCCGCTCGGGTCAGGGTGCCCTGGGTTTCTTTGTTTGCAGCCGAAGTGTAAGAAACCCAACCCTAGCTCAAGAAACCTCTGCGGATTGCAGGGTTGGGTTTCTTGCGGGCGGGTTTCTTGTGGATTAGCTTCCACTGGATCCCCCCGTTCCCGCTCGACGACTTTCTAGGTGGCGTCTGCAAGCAGCGCACCATGCATTCTTGGAAAAGCCTCCTGAAGATCAGGATCCAGAAAGACCCATACTACTTGCCCCTAAGCTCCTGCAGAAACCCTTTACCAGCCTCACTCTGGGGTCAGACAATTCAGGAGGGTAAGGAGGATAAATAAGAGCGGCCGACGATACAATAGGAAGCCGACGGATGAGCAAGGTGACAGTGCCGATGTGTTCGAGGAAATGAGGACAGAGATTCGGCACTGTCGCTTGCAATGGTAAAGTTTCGTATAATTTCGGGTAGATCTCCTGCAGTGATGAGCCGGGCCCCCTACCAGGCAAACCCCGAATACCCCGGTCAACCTTCCAGGCCAACCCCCTTCCAGCGAACCCTGAGCAGAACAGATTTTGGGAAGGTCTTACGGCCTGTGCCGCCGACCCTGGAGACGACGGCGTTGATCTCGCCGAAGAGGATGATGGCGAAGACGCCTCGGGAGGAGGGGGAAGACGACACAGATGAGGCGGAACAGGTGCAGACACAGACAGGGTGGAAGGAGGAAGAGGGGGAGGAGGAGGAGGAGGAGGAGGAGGAGGAGGAGGAGGAGGGAGGAGGAGGAGGAGGAGGAGGAGGAGGAGGAGGAGAGGGAGGGGAGGAGGAGGAGAGAAGGAGGAGAGGAGGAGGAGGAGGAGGAGGAGGAGGAGGAGGAGGAGGAGGAGGATGCGAATCTGACCCCCCCCCGCCCAACAGGGACCCCCCCCCGCCGGGGAAGGGACAAAGGGAAGGTGATTCCTTTTGATTAGGACGTGGGTGGAATTTACTCAAGCTGCGACCCCTTTCCCCGAACGAGGAAGGTTTTTTTTTTGCTCTCTCTTTCTCTCTCGCATACAAAGGAGAGGACGAAAGGCGGCCCCCCGTCGACGGGACTGTACAGACACCCCACACACGCCGACAGGGTCGGCGGATTTGGAAGATACATGCTGTGAGAGGGTGGGAGGATCCCCATCCAGCTTCACAGGAGGAGGATGAGGAGGGGCAACGTGGTGGGGAAGGAGAGGGGAGAGTCCCGCTGCTTTGGAAGCGGGAGCTGCGACCCGTATGGTTTCCCCGTAGGTTGCACGTCTTGGGCCACATGTTTTTGTCGGCAGCGGCGCGGGGCACGAGCCGTCGAGAGGCAGCCGCGGACGCAGCCCACGGACGCTGGGCTCCCCGCACGCAGGGATCTGCGCGCTGGCTGCACCCTGGGAGAGCGCCACGCGCAGGCATCTTGCACGTGGCTCAGTGTCTAGTGCACGCGCAGGCATACTGCACGCACAGGTATACTGCTCGCGCAGGTACATTGCATATTGCACGCAGGAGGAGGAGAAGGTACCCACACCGCTGCTCTCGCCTCGCTCGCCCATGTTTGAGCCCCCCTGGGAGGCCCTCGTCGCCGCCGCTTGGTCCGCTTCGAGATCCTGGTCAGAGCGAACCCCGGGCGAGGCCCGGGGAGCGGCGGTATCGTCCCCTTTGAGTGACCCCATTGCGACTGCACCTCCGCACCGGCACAAGAAGAGCCCGGTGGCAGAGATCAGAGAGACGACACGGCCGACGGACGAACCACGGAGGGCAGGCAAGGACGACGACCACATAATTTGCACAGAGTCGTTGACTGGCGTCCACGCTCTGACGCCGTCCTCGTCGTCCCTCCTGGCGAAGGTCTACAAGGGCACGCTGATCACGATAGGAGTGTTTTTCTCTATTGGCAGTTCGAAGATTGCTCGCTCGCTCAGGTGTTCCCCCCGCTCCGGGAGGGAGGGCAGGCTTCGAGGGCCGAGGTGGGCGACTGAATCTACAGGGACTTGCAAAGTCGAGTCGCGTTTTTATCGCGTGGCATCTTCGGGGAACCTTGTCCGTCCTCACCACGGGTTGATGGTTGTTCTTGTGCCCGACGCTGGTCCCACGCGGACTTGACGTCGTTTCGAGGTGGATGCGACGTGCACTCGACGAGCTCGACGTGGATTCGACGCGGATCCGACGTGGATAGCGGGGCGGCAGGACAGACAATTTCAGACGACGATGCAGTTGACATTTCAGGCTGGCCGCCCGAAGCACCAGAGCGGCTTGTCTGTCGGCCATGGCCCAAGCCTAATCGAGGTGCAGCCACCCAGGACGGCGAATACCGAGGAGATTGCCCAGCCCTCGTCGGCACGGCTGGCTTCTCCTGGAAATCTTGGTCACAATGCGCCCCGGAAGAACTCCATCAAGTAGCGGTATCGTTTTGCGTTGATTCCCCCCATTGTTCGGATTGGTTTGGAATCGAGAGTCCTGTGGAGAATCGATTGAAGCACGCATCGCAAGACGCATTTTGCCAATCTGCCCGCAGCAGTGAGTACTGGAGGGATGAGACCGAGAGAGCAGTTGAGAGTTCACCCTATTTGGCGAATGGGTCGGACATGTGCTGAGCAGCGTCGGCGGTATTGCTGGTGAACAGGCCTAAGGAGTGTCAGGATGCCCGAGGATCCGAGTGCAAGCTTGGGCACACGGGTGGGAAACAGGAGGGGGCGAGCGTGCGAGGGATTTGGGGATCAAGTTCCAAACAGGTGGTTCCGAGTCCTGTCCTCCATTTGCACTTGATCAGCGATCAACTAGCAGCCAGTGAGCTCTTCGTGAGGGTATCGGATGCGGCGACGAGAAACGATGCCCTGCCATGGACCACGACTCGCGTTTGGCGGGTCCAGCGGCGGTTGTGCGTTGCGAGTGTTTGAAGGGAAGTGGGTGGCGCAGCGCACGGACACGGGGCCAGGCTAGGCGAGCGCGTGCTCGAGGACACGACGAGCGTCGTAGTGGACAGTTCAAGGGCTTCGGGCTTGGCGTGGCTGCGCTGGGATGTTGGCGGTCGCAGGCTCAGAGCGGGTGGAACAGTCCACAGGCAGAAGTCCAAGCGGTGCCAGCATAGAGGAGGAGGGGGAGGAGGAGGAGGAGGAGGAGGAGGAGGAGGAGGAGGAGGAGGAGGAGGAGGAGGAAGAGGCGGAGGAGGAGGAGGAGGAGGAGGAGGAGGAGGAGGAGGAGGAGGAGGAGGAGAGGCGGGGGTCAGCGAGGCCACGGCGACGAGCTTCGCGGAAGGTGCGCAGGGTTGGGTGGGTGGGCAGGTTGCTGAGCCTTGTGGGCGGCGACGGCCTCGCACAGGTGCAGGGTGGGCAGACTGTCGAGGCTTCTGGGCGGCGAGGACCTCTCAGAGGTGCAAAGTCGGGGCTCAGCGGGGCTGGTCGTATTCACTGGCAGGCGACGAGCTTTGGGTGACACACACACACATAAGTAGTGGGACTTGGCTTTGATGGGGCAGTTGAGATTCGTTGTCGGCCAAGACCGTGGTTAGCGCGGGGGGCGTAACATTAGGTAGGTTTAGTCTGGGCTAGCAGGCGACAGCGGCGCAAATCAGGGAATGTAAAGCTGATCTTGGTTGCGGCCAGCTCCGTGGTTGTGCGGGGGGGGGGGGCGGGGCATGCCAGAGAGCTGGATGGAGGCGGGGGTCAGCCAGAGCGCAAAACCTTCCGAGCCCTTGCGCGTGTTGAGCCGGGTGTGGGTGCCGCTCCAGGCCAAGCCGCACCCTCTTTCGAGGCAGCTCCCGCGCCCCGCTGACCAGATGTGGCCAGCTTCGGCCAGCGGTCGGCGGTGGTCGGGGCCAATGGTCTGCCGACCTCGGGGCCCGCGGGCCTCGTCAGCGCCAGCACGGTGATGGCACCCGCGGTCTTCGACGGGGTCCTGCGAGGCGTCGGCACCGCCACTCGGCGGGGGGCGCGCGGGCCTGGGCGGCGGGGAGCCTCGGGCAGGCAGAGGTCTCGCTTTTGAGTTTCGCCTCGGAGGACGTCTGAGCCGTGGGCGCTCGGACGGCCAGCAGCTGAGCCCCCCATCCTGGCCCCGCCGGGGGCGCTGCCGATGTCGACGCGGCCGCACCGCGCCCGCCCCCAGGCGAGGCGCGAGCAAGACGGGGGCGTGGAGCTAGGCTTAAGTCGAGGGGGAGTATTCAAAAAATAATTAAAAAAATAGTCAGGCGACGATTTTGATCATCATGTTTGTCCATTTGCGGTGTATTTTTGGAGTGTGTTCTATTTTTCGCCCAAAATCCCCCTGTAGGGGGACACGCCCGACCTACGGCAGGGCTGGACTGGCCCTTCCTTGGTGGGCGGCCTCGCGCTGAGGAGCGTCGGGGAGGCACAGCGCAGGCGAAACAATCGGGCCGGGCGAACGGGGGGGATTGGGGAAGGGGGGGTTACGAAATTTGCTGCATGCAGCTGGTTTCGGCTTCACCAAGGGGCCCATTCCTCGATACGTAGCCGCCTCCGGCGCCGGGAGGCGCCCGGAAAATCAGCTGCGTGAGCTGATTCTCAAACCCCCCCTTTGTTATCCCCTCTTTCGCCCGACCCGAAACAGGCACATCCCGCAAGTGCAGGCGTGCTGGGACGAGCGCGGGGCGGGGGTGGTCCAGGCAGGGCCGCCCACGCAGCGCCAGGGCGGCGCCCGGGGCGCGGCGAGGGGAGAGGAGCGGCGGACTCGGAGGCGGCAGAGGTAGGGCGGTGAAGATTAGGGGGCCACGTGCGGAACCTGCCCCTGCCCCCCACGATGTCTGAGGGCGAGGGTGGGGTTCACTTCGCTCGGGAGCTCCCGAGCGAAGTGCGCAGTGAAACCACACCCTGCCCCTCGGAAATCCTGGGGGGTAGGGGTAGGGTTCGCGTGTGGCCCCCTAGAGATGGCGACGAATATGGTCACAGAGGGACGTTGCGACGTTCAAGAGGGGCGTAGCTCGGTAGCGACGCATGGGAGCCTGGCGTGCCCTGTGAATTCCGTCTCCAGCGTCGGTGAGCGTGGACTGGCGTCTCAGAGTCGATGAGATAGCGCTGGTTTAGTATCGGGCGGCGTCGATTTAGCGTCGATTACCGGCGACTGGCGTCGACTAGCGTCGGTTCGCAAGAGCCGACAAGATGGTACTGGAGGCTCCCATGAGTAGCCACCGAAGACTGGGACGCAATGCTGGAAGGCCACGAGCTCTGCATAACCAGATCTCGCTCGCAGTGGAAGTCGACGCACCTGTCGCCGCGCTGACCGCGCCGGATTCTGCGAAGGCCGCCAGCCCGGTGAAGCGAGGCCACTCGTGTTCCCCCTTCGTGTTTCGCATCGTCGGCGTTTTTTTCTCATCACCCGCGTGCGCGCCAGCGCTCCGAGGCAGTTCTCCCCTCCCTTCTTTGCTGCGTCTCTCTCTCTCTCTCTTTGTCTCTCTCTCTCTCTCTCTGCCTGCCCGAGGCGGGGATCTCTACATGACCAGACCCTCTGGGGGGGAGGAGGGGGGAGGGGGGCAGGCGGGCGGTGCATGTGGATATTTTTGGCCCCCCATGGGGGGGGGAGGGCATGTACGATCCCTCGAGGGTTCACGGGCCCCTCCCCCCCAGATGGGATGGCCCCCAGAGTTAACAGACAGCTCCCCGCCCCCAAGATCGGATGGGGGGGGACGACGCCGCCGACACCGATGCCGACGTCGACGCCATCGCCGTCGCAGACGTCGACGCCGACGCCGACGCCGACGACGACGACGTTACCGACGCCGATGCTGACGCCGACGCCGACGCCGAAGCTGACGCCGATGCCGACAGACGGCGAGGCTCACGGGCGTACCCATCCAGCGGGGGGGTCGATCCCACATATGCGTTGGTGGGAGGGGGGCGGGTGGGGGGAACCCTGGGCGGTGCAGACCCACACGCACACACACACACACACACACACATCTGTATGGATATGTGCGTTTATACACACGAGTGGCGCGTGCGTGCCCAGTCTCGTACAAACACATGTGCAGGATGCGTGTCTACACGCAAGTGTAAAGGTGCGTGTATGGCGCATGGGGTTCGTGTTATGTGTGTCGTGTGCGTGTGCGTGTGCTGTGTATGAGTTAAGTGTGGCTCATGTGTGTCAGTGTGGTGTTGCGTGCCAAGTGTGTAACTTGTGCGTGCGGTATGTGTGTGTTGACTGTGTTGGATGACTTGTGTTTAGAGTGTGTGTGTGTGTGCGTGTGCGTGTGTGTGTGTTCTCTGTATGCTCCGTGTGCTGTAGGTGTTGTGTGTGTTCTCTGTGTGTTCTGCGTGATGTACGTTGCCTGTGTGTGTGCGTTATGTGTGTAGTCTCTCTGTGTGTTGCACGTCGGGGCTCGATGTTGGGAGGATGTCGCAGGCGCAGCTGCCTTTTCTATGCATCGTGTTGAAAATGGTTTCGTTGTCAGGAGGATGTCGCATGCGAAACTGCCATTCTTGACGAATCTGGCTCCAAGCCTTTGAATTCCAGTGTGTGCAAGGCTTTGTGGCGCAGTGATTGAAACAAGGTTCTTTGTGTTGACCGTGACGTTGCGATGTGCCTGAGAGTGCGTCCAGTTTTCCGAACTGTGGCTGTCCCGATGGAAACTGCTAAACAAAGAAACACGTCTTCACATTTACTCGCCTGTGAGTTCTACTCCCTCGGAGATGCGCCTATGATGAAATACATCTCTCTCTCTCTATATATATATATATATATATCAGGGTGAGGGGGGCTGAACCGAACGGTGATTCACTGTCCCTGGGTGCGTGGCTGAAGTGGAATTCCGCGAGGCGGAATCTCGTTGTTGTTGTTGCTGTTGCTGTTGTTGTCGTTGTTGGTGTTGTTGCTGTTGCTGTTGCTGTTGCTGTTGCTGTTGCTGTTGTTGTTGTTGTTGTTGTTGTT